AGAGTAAAGGTCGTTTTTTTTCGCTAACTTTATTTTGAAAAACTTTTGTACACCTATTGCTTGACAGTATGATGGATACACATCTTGTCCATTGGTTACCGGTTACAACAAATGCATTATGGCAGAATTTGACTTTGATATGAAACCGTTGGAGACATTTCCTATAGATCAGGGTAAGGAACGTCGAACCATGTGGCACATGAAGAAGGACCTGATGCCTCAGCTCTACTGGCATTTGTTGTTGAAGTAAGTTGATGGTTTTGTCTGGTATGTTTTAGTTCTCACAAGTATCGCCCTCCAGTGGTTAATCGGTAAGTCTAGGAACTTATAATGCTAAATCTCGGAACTTATAACGCTAAAAATCTGGTTTCGATACGTGCGGTGGGTACAGCGCAGACAACCCATTGTCTAGCTTTGTGCTTAACAACAACTCTGGGTAGTCTTCAACGTTGTTATGAAGTTAATGACCATTGTAATGAAGCAAGTAACAACTACGTTATTCTCAGAACAATGGTTTCTATTTAGAAACTAAACATTTTATGAGTATTTACTCAAATAAAACGAGAATTATAATTTTTAACAACACATATCAGACTTTCTTTACCAATAAATTTGACCAAACTATTATTACATTATTAAAAACATGTTTTACAAATAAAATTTGTTTTGTTTGTAATTAAGCACAAAGCTACACAATGGGATATCTGTGCTCTGCCCACCACGGGTATCAAACCCGGATTCTAGCGTTGTAAATCCGCAGACATACTGCTGTGCCACTGTGGGGCTACAAATAAAAAGAACTACACTGTATTATTTATAGAACTTGATTTACCAGATTGTTAAGCAAATAAATATTTAACCATTAATAAAACTTTGCAGCCAGTATCTTGACATCTTAATGAATCTTAAGCTTAAGATTATAATTATGGTTTATTCTGAAAATATTTATTACAAATACTTATAATTTCTTTTCAGGCACATTGGGCTAATGTATATTAAAAGTAAAAACAACAACGTTTTCAGGCACAATAAAAGATAAAGTCTTTATTAGTTGTTTCAGCCGTCTAGTTTCGGTAATCACAATACTTATCGTAGATTAGTCTAGAAACCTCAGCCAAACTGTAATAAGACACATTAATTTGTTGCTATAGTTGACGATATGCAATAAGAGCTTTTAAAATGGGAGAGGAAAATGATAGTACTTACAAATATTTACTTTGCTAATATGATTTTCTTTTAAGTCAAATGTTAATTTTTTTCAGAGGTTGGTGGGAAGGACCGTGGCTTTTCAAGAAACTCTTTCATTTGGGAATGTCTCGATAAATTACAGAAATGAAGAACGGTTGAAAATTATATGTTTTTACTGTTTTACGTAGTGTACATAAATACCACTTCAAACTGTTTAAGACAAGTAGGAGAAATGTTAAACAAATTCTTAATTAAATTGTATAGCTATATGACAGTCAATAAAAAGTAAAACCATCTATATGAAAACCGAAAGAAAAACATATAAAATTATTATTTTTATATATTTTTAAAAGTTGCATTTGAATGTGGAGTGTAATATTTGAATGAAACTTTACAAGCTGTTCTATTATTCTTAAGACAGTCAATTTTCATCATTATAATTATCTTAAATTCTCATCAAGGTTGTAAGTTTAAATATCATATTTATTCAGACATTTTTTTATTACCAAAACATTAGTTTGAACTTGGATTTAGAAATATGTGGTTAAGGGTGGTCGGTACATTGAGGCGGATAGCATTGCCTCTTTATTTATAACTGAATGAGGACTCCAGTGATACAAAATTTAACGTGTTTTCTGATATTTTTTTCATGTCAAATATCATGAGCAAACATTAATGTTTTTTTTTTTATAAATGAAGAAGATAAAATGTTTTTGTTTTTTTATGTTGGTTGATAATATATTAAATAGCAGCTATAAAATGTGTTTTGTTTTTATTTGTTTTGTTGGTTGCTAATACATTAAATAGCAGCTATAAAATGTGTTTTGTTTTTATTTGTTCTGTTGGTTGCTAATACATTAAATAGCAGCTATAAAATGTGTTTTGTTTTTATTTGTTCTGTTGGTTGCTAATATATTAAATAGCAGCTATGAAATGTGTTTTGTTTTTATTTGTTCTGTTGGTTGCTAATATATCAAATAGCAGCTATAAAATGTGTTTTGTTTTTATTTGTTCTGTTGGTTACTAATACATTAAATAGCAGGTATAAAATGTGTTTTGTTTTTATTTTTTCTGTTGGTTGCTAATACATTAAATAGCAGCTATAAAATGTTATGTTTGTTAAACTCTTACTCTTAAAATATATTGTAGAAAGATTTGTTTTTTTGTGGGTCAGCGGTAAGTTTACTTTAAAATCTAGGGTCAATTATTCACGATAGACAAAGTGTTAATAGCCCATTGTGTAGCTTTGATCGGAGAAAACAACAAACCATAGAAAGAACATGTTCGTATGGCAATCTATTTTTTCGAGAAAGATTTTCTTGTTTAATATAGAAATACAACAGTATCTTTATATCTAAGGTATTAAGCAGCTTTTCTGCTTTATCAGTCTGTATTTTTAATAGATGATTGAAGATTGTCTTATTTTACCATAATAGATATTTTTGTCAGTACTATTTATTTATTATGTTATCATTGCAAATATAACATAATTGCCAATATAAAAAAAATATAGAAATTATTGGTAAAAGAACTATCATTACCATTTTAAAATTATAGCGAAGTATTTATTTATCATGTTATCATTGCAAATATAACATAATTGCAAATATATAAAAAATATAGAAATTATTGGTAAAAGAACTATCATTACCATTTTAAAATTATAGCGAAGTATTTTTTTGTTTTGTTATCATTGCAAATATAACATAATTGCAAATATATAAAAAATATAGAAATTATTGGTAAAAGAACTATCATTACCATTTTAAAATTATAGCGAAGTATTTTTTTGTTTATCTTGAGAGCATTAAAACTCAAATTCAATACTATAAATATACATTTAGTTATTTTCTTCTGGAGGAGAAAGATAGGCTTATAATAACCTTATTAATTTGTTTTTGTAATGGTCCACAAGCTACAGTTTCATGTAATTAATTATTTACGTTAGGAAGATTAAAATGAAAAAACAAGTTTCGGTTTATGTTGACATTAGAATTTCATCATTGTTTCTATATGTTTGATACATCTTGAAAATTCTCCGACATTAATTTAATACGTTGGCTATATATTTCTTAGCATATGATTGTCTGTTAAAGCTATATAGGGGCAAAAATAGTTCAACATAACTACCAAAAAAAGGTTTTCCTTTTTATATAAATGGATTTCACGAAAGACTAACTAGCAATTGATAAAAATTGAACACAAAACGATCAGTATATGTTCAGGTTTTGAAATTAGTGAAAGCTCTTTTCTTTGTGCTGATTTTATTGATAAAATAGTATGATAACATTGTAGTGAATGATTCCACCAAAATCACCTTGCATCTAAAAAAAAAAAGATTACAATAAGTTAAGTTTAAGTTACATGGTTGCCAAAAGATGGCGCTAAAATAATTTAATTTCATACGGTTTTGTTTGTTTGAAATCAAACACAAAGCTTACACAATGGGCTATCTGTGCTCTGTCCACCAGGGGTATCGAAACCCGGCTTCTAGCGTTGTAAATCCGCAAACATGCCGCTGTGCCACTGGGGGGCAATTTCATATGGTCCAATATTAAATCGAAAAAAAGTTTAGAGGACAAGCCAGATTACTGTTGTAAATTTTTACACGCCAGAACTTTCACCTACATGAGAATTTGGGAACTTGTACTTATATGATTTAATCAGTTTTTCACAAGGCCTCTCATTTGATTAAAAATACTTAAAATCGCATGTCGAGTACTAATTTGAAATAATATTGTCTAAAAACCCTTAGGTGATCAAAGCTTTTACTTCCACTTTGAAACATGTATACGAGTTACTTTTTCGTTACAATTTTAAGAAAAAAAAACAGTTACTAAACTAGCAAACCAAGTTTACCCGCAGTAACGGGCCCGGCATGGCCAGGTGGTTAGGGCGCTCGACTCGCAATCTGCGAGTCGCGGGTTCGAATCCCCGTCACATCAAACATGCTCGCCCTTTCAGCCGTGGGGGCGTTATAAAGTGACGGTCAATCCCACTATTCGTTGGTAAAAGAGTAGCCCAAGAGTTGGCGTTGGGTGGTGATAACTAGCTGCCTTCCTTCTAGTCTTACACTGCAAAATTAGGGACGGCTAGCGCAGATAGCCCTCGTGTAGCTTTTCGCGAAATCCATAACAAACAAACACGCAGTAACAAGAACAATGTTAAAAGTTAATTTACCCTAACATTATTTTTCGTTACAGTATCTTATGTTAAGCATTATTATGATTTGAAATAATTCAGACTGACAATTCAAATCTTTCATAATTAAAAGCAGTTTAATCGGCCAAGTAAACACCACAACACTAAAGAAATGTGATACGGAAGCATCTTGAAAATACTTTCAACGTTACTTTGAATAAAAATAATAAATATATTACAAAAATAGTAAGCGCAGTTTATAGAGTGTTATTAGGAGACGATGTTCAGGAGCAAACACATAAACCAATCTCTTAAAAACAAGCTATTTCGGAAAGAACCTTTGAAACAAGAGTATACAATTCATATTTCTAAAACGATCTGAATTTTTTTACAGAGCACATTATTTTAAATATACAAAACAAGCACACTTTAACTCCCGTCATACTTTCTTCACAAAAAACAGTTATATTAACCGTAATGCCCTGATTAAAATTCAAGATCTTCAGGAAATAAAATGAACGCTTTCACTGTCAAAGAAAAAACTCGAGTCAAAACGATCCGAGCTGCCAGAAGACTCTTGATTGGTCAACGTTTGGGTTTGCTCCACCTTTATGGTAAAACGTTACACTAGGAGCTTGGGATGGTACAATCAGTGAAGTTAATCAACTTAGTTTAACCCTATGCTTACCTAGTAGGCCAACTACTTCATTTTCTTCGATAAAATATAATTTCCTAATTTATTCTGGTTCTTGAGAATATTATATGCCTAGTCGCGAAACGTTTAAGAAAGGAAAACATCTCAGTGTTAACAAATAAAGTTTCTTGAGAGTTTTAAATCGAATATATGTACTAAATAAGTTATATTTTCCAGTATTCACTACGTTGTATTAAAACTAATGCATTGAAAATAGTATTTTTATTTAAATTTTAATAAACATAACGCTTAATGGAATTATCTGTTAACGTGAGTGTCGTATAATTATTTCAGAAAAATTCAATACACACACAAATACACATATGTATAGATGTTATTTAAGTGAAAGTTCCAAACTATAAAACTGGATGCGAACGTAAACGTTTAGCTGTCAGCATAATTTGCAACACTTTTTTGGAACATTCATCAAAATATGATTTTAAAAATATAACGAAAAGAAAACTCATTACATAACGTGATTTGTGTCGCAATACGTATGTCAAAATGTGTTGTCTTAAAAAAACGATAATAAATAAATTCTTAGTATCAAATTATTGCTCTAAATCTCGCAATTTCAAAATACGAAGAAGACATGAATCAAATATTTAAATTCTTGAAACTAATATAAAGAATTTTGATCAACTAAATGCTTTACTATTAAGTTCATATTCTTATAATAGAAGCAAATAGTTGAGCTTGTAAAAAATAGACGCTAAAGTTGCTTTACATAAAATTAAAGTTTTTTCGATAAGTTAATTTTATATAAAGAATATTGTATTTACAAAACAAAAATAAATTCAGTGCTGAAGGTAAAAAAGAAGTTATTAAAGATAATAGATACAAAAATATATAACTAAATAAAAGATCGAGGTTCAGCAGATCAACTGAATGTGAAATCCGTCTTCTGAGAAACTCGCCGGATATATTTGTGTCGTTTTACCCAAATGTAAGTTAGTAAACATTAATGTAAAGTGTTCAACAACTTTATTACGTGTAGGTATGATTCGAAGCTACATTATTCCTTTCCAGAAACACTGTTCCTTTCTGTAAATGAAGTGACTAGAATGTGAATAATGTGATGTCACGTGATCAGGAACATAAGTCAATTATCATCTTTCAAGTTGGGAAGAACGGTGCACATCCTGTAGTTAAAAGCTGGAACTACGACAAGTTCAATAAAAACATTCTATCGGTCCCTTACAGTTACATCAATTTATATACAGTTTTAATGTTTTACAATCCATTTAGAAGACAACATAGCCTGCTATTAAATCAAGAATGGAAATCGGCTTTGCTAAACATTATATCAGTTTCTTACAGTTACATCAATTTATATACAGTTTTAATGTTTTACAGTCCATTTAGAAGACAACATAGCCTGCTATTAAATCAAGAATGGAAATCGGCTTTGCTAAACATTATATCAGTTTCTTACAGTTACATCAATTTATACACAGTTTTAATGTTTTATAATCCATCTAGAAGACAACATAACCTGCTATTAAATCAAGAATGGAAATTGGCTTTGCTAAACATTCTATCAGTTTCTTACAGTAACATCTGTTAATATATAATATTAATGTTTTATAATCCATTTAGAAGACAACATAGCCTGCTATTAAATCAAGAATGTAAATTGGCTTTGCTAAACATTCTATCAGTTTCTTACAGTAACATCTGTTAATATATAATATTAATGTTTTATAATCCATCTAGAAGACAACATGGCCTGCTATTAAATTAAGAATGGAAATCGGCTTTGCTAGACAAATCGAAGATATTACGTCCCATAATTTTGTCTGCAACGATTTTCTGCTGCTCTTTAAACTTGTTAAACAAACGTCCATAATAACCATGTTATACCTATCTCATAATGATGCTTCGTTAGTCTTTCATTTAGAAAGGATTTTTTTTTTTCATTTAAAATAGTCTACAATAAATTATATTCAGGATACAACTCTTAAAGAAGAAACCCACAAAATAAGTTTTCTGTGCAGACGGTATATTGTGCTAAAAACTCAAATTAATCACATTTGATTTTTAGATAACTTAACAAAGCAATTGGAGTAGAAACTCCAACGAAACTGATTCCTAACGTTTCGTGGCCTTGGTAAAAACTAACTCTTTCGTCGAAACGACAATTAATCAACGTCTTCTAATTCTTATTTGCGTTGTTAACACATGGTTAGAGTTTAAAGTATAATCAAATAAACTAGACAAGCCTAGAAATTTCTGTACATATTTGTATATTAAACTAATTGAAATAAGTACGTTTCTGCAATAATAGTGATCTGTTTCACCTGCATGATAAATAAAGATTTCCCTATCGTGCACAACAGTCGAGTTGGAAAAGAAACTTATTAGGAATTATGGAACAGTAAAAAATCAACATCTTATTATGGAATAGTAAAATATGAACACCTCATTATGATACAGTGCTCTGTAGTTAAAAATATAGTATAGAGTGACAGTAATAACTCAAAAATATCATATTGAAAAAAAGCAGTTAGCAGCGAGAGATCAAGAAAACAGAAGATAATAATAATCTCAATAAAGTCAATAAATTAGTTATAACACTATATATGGTGACGAGAAAACAGTTATGGTGCAAGAGCAGTGACGAAATTTTATCTATAACACAATATATGGTGACGAGAAAAGATTTCAGATGCAAAAATGCGAAAAGCGTTGCCATAGCACAAATGGTCTTAAGAATTAATCACTGCACAGCAAATGGTGGCGGGAAATGAACTAAAATAGAACAGATAACAGTAACTGTCATTTTGAACATAACAGACAATGTAACGTGAATTTAGTTAGGACAAAGAAGCCGGTCGCCAAGAAAAAAAGCAAGAATACAATATAATCCAAGAAGAAATTAGATAAAACATTTATTCGGAATATTTAATACAACTCAAAAGATATAGAAGAAATCAATTAAAGAAAAGCAGACGATTGCAAGCAATCCTATAAAGACAGAACAGATGGCTTTGCTGTAATACATAGAGCTTACAGGATTGTGTGGACGAGAAATTACATAGAGAATGACTCAACGCAGCAGAAGATAATTAAATTCAGATAAAGCAGAATATATAATGAACAAAAAAACAAATCCTTTAAAACATCGGAGATTGAGGAAAGAAAAACTATAGACAACGACAGAAAGTGATGAGGATTCAAATAAAGGCAAACAGATAATGACAACGAATCTTTTACAATATAGGAGATTGTGTAGAAAAAATAGGCAGACAACGACAGAAAGTGTCAAAGCAGAAGGTGATGAGGATTCAAATAAAACAAAACAGATAATGACAACGAATCTTTTACAATATAGGTGATTGTGGAGGAAACAAAACAGGTAAACAACGTCGGAAAGTGTCAAAGCAGAAGGTGATGAGGATTCAAATAAAGCCAAACAGATAATGACAACGAATCTTTTACAATATAGGAGATGGTGTAGAAAAAACAGGCAGACAACGACGGAAAGTGTCAAATGAGAAGGCGGTAAGGATTCAAATAAAGTAAAACAGATAATGTCTACGAATCTTTTACAACATAGACATTTTTAGATTTACAACAGATAATGACAACAAATCATTTAGAACACAGCAAACTGTGAATAAAAAAAACAGCAGAAGACACCAAAATATGCTAAAGCAGAAGGTAGCATCTTTTTATGTAAGTCAAAACAGAAGTAGTAGAAGAAACTGACAGAAAACAGCAAAATGTGGCTGATATTTAGCAGTGATGATAAAGAAAAACAAAAAAAGAGTTCTAACCAGAATGAGAAATTACTTAGAACAATAAATGTTTTTTTAATGAATTTAGATACACTATTAAGTATGGATACGAAGATTAATTGAGCGACATAATAATAATTATAAATACTAGGGTTATTAAAATTCTTGCTTCAGCAAAAGATTTAAAGATACTTTGTTTCTATTACCCCATCTGTAAGTCTACAGAAATAGCGAACGATAATCAAAAAGCGTTGCAAGCATAGGTACATTACAATTATAAACAAGCGTTGCAAGCATATGTACATTACAATTATAAAGAAGCGTTGCAAACAAATCTACATTACATCTACAAACAAGCATACAAACATGCGTACATTATACCTACAAACAAGTGTTGCAAACAGATGCGCATAATAACTATAAACAAGCATTGCGAACATATGTACGTTACAACTACGAATAAGCGTTGCAAATTTAAGTGCAGTATATACCAACCATTAACAAGCGTGGCAAACATAAGTATTTATCAATTACTAAAAAGTGTTGCAATCATATGTATATATTTGTTTATTCCTTTATTATATGGTATGTTAAGTATTATTTTTTCTTCCTCACAACCTTAATACTCAATATGTGTTATAATTCACGTGACTGTTGAACGTGAATACATAATATGTACACTTTCTTTCAGTATTCACCGTAATGTCACAATACAGCACTTATTATTTTTTTTATCCGACATTACGTATGAAACAAAGATTCAATAAATAGAGCATTAAGTTTCCTTTCAAGATACCCTATTAACAAAGTTACAAAAACACAGTGTTAACAATAAATTACTGGTTTAGGTCTTAAACTAATCCAGTGTCTATACTGTGAAATTAATATATTTGGCTTTAACCCTGTATAAGGAGGGTTAGACTTAGTCATAATTCGTAGAGAACCAAACACTTAAGTCTTTGAACAGCGTTTGTTATCTGACACTGCTGTTTGTTCAGGAAGAAGGGTGGCATTTTCTTCTCCTAGAAGACAGTAAGTAGTAACTTTTCCTTTTCCCTTAAAAAAAATGAATATTTTAAACAACTTGACGACATTTCTCACTCATTACAAATATTTAAAATGTATTTGCACTACAGTATCCTATTCCTCGTAGAAAAACAATACATTTTGACACATAATTTCAAGAATGAAAAATTTTAAGGATTAGAATGACTGTCTGTAATGTACAAATATATCTTTGTATATCAGATGAAAACTAGGAACATAAAATAAACAGAGATAATCGAAATATGATAAATGACATAAAACTTTAGAAGGCCAATTGAGACTCCATTTCATCAATGGCAACAAATAATACTGAAGACACTAACTATATCCCCATCCTCCCCCTCCCACTTAGTTTAACATTATATCATGTCCCGATTGCTTAAATTTAAGTTAAGTACACTGTTAAGTATCCAGCATAGAAAATAATAATTTAGAATGATAGCTATGAGAAGCTATTCTTAAATGGTTTTACCGACTGCCAATGGAGATTGGTGTAATGCCATCTCTGATTAATCGGTTAACAAAATGTACTATTATAAAACCTATTTAACTTAAGATTATCCAAACAACGCTTAATAACTAAAATAAAAAGCAATGCATTCATTAACGTAAATAAATTATGGTTTTCTGGTACAATTTAAAATTATGATAAATTCTATCCGTCTGTATATTTTAACTTAATTTTTAATGAAACTTGAAGCTTATACTTTCTAAATTATTTTTTGATACTGCTTAGTTTTTAGCATTTTGTAAAAATCGCAAAAGAATGCTGATAGTGATAGCTTTATTTAAGTATTTATATGATGAAGAGTAGCTAATACAAAAAAAAAGAAATCGGTTCGTCAAAATGTACTTGTACTGATGAAATATAAAAACAATTTTATTATTTCTAATGAAAGACCGACATTTCTGGTTCTTTATATGTATAATTACTGTTGGAAATGGGCTTAAAGTTATTACAGTAATATTTGAAAAGTATAAGGGTTTATTAGAGTATAAGGCAGTAATAGATTAAGAGAACATATGAAGGAAAATACCAAAGCAATTGCTCATTTTTATTATTATACTAACAATAATTATATGTATTACGAAGTAACAAATTGAGATAAAAAAGATCATCGAAGTATACCTTCATTTCCACTTCTCCACGAAGGTCCAAACGAAACGTTCCGAAACAGTCCAATACTTCTTTCGTTTGAGGACTTACGTGGATCTTTAAAGCTGAAATTCAACTGAACTTTTCCCATTTGTTAACTTATATAGCAATGTATATTCCCAGTAACATAGATGTGACCAAATGTTTTCTATTGTTAGATTTATACCATTATTGATTAAGTAGTCATAGTATTAGAAACGTAAATATTTTTATTAAAATAAAATTTATGAGATTATACGTTTAATAACAAGTATATTAATGTTGTCTATTAACTTCTTTAAAATATAATAAATAAATAAAAAGACAGACATTACACTTGATGGTTAAAGTATTTCTCGTAGCTTTATTAATTTTTTGTTACCTTTTAATATTCTCATATCAATTTTACCTTTAGCACTTATGGAGATCGTACTTTCAGTCATACCCATGCTCCAATTATAACATTATTTTTGATTAAATAAGAAATATTTTTTAATTTTTGGCACTTTTATTGTTTGTTTGATGACATTTTATCCAATCATTCAAATTACTGTCCTTTTTGCTGTTCATCAAGTTCTGACTAATTAATCACGGTTCATGTGGTAATACGACAAGTTAATACGACATTTTAGGCTTCATGTTTCTACATATACAGTTTCCAGTTTTACCGCTTCCAAACAACAAGGAAGAGGAGTTCTATGTTAGAGCTAAAGTATGACACGAGTTTGTTGTCTGTACAAAATTTAGTAAAATTAAACAGAAGCTTATACGAAAAATATACTAATAAATAAGGAAAGCACTTTTTGTTACGCCACCTGTGTATATAAGATGGAAAAAAAAAGTCGTATGAAATTTACGTTTTGTTAAAAATAAAAGCAAAAGTACAAAGGATGAAATTGAGGTGAAGGTTTCAAGGTTGTATACACAGACTATACAATTTAATAACAAGGACTCAACAGACGGGAGTAGACAGCTTGCATCAAGTAAATTACTATTAACCCCATATTAGTAACAAAAGATGGCCTGATGGTTAGGGCGCTCGATTCACAATCTGCGGGTCGTGGGTTTGAATTCCCGTTACATCAAACGTGCTCCCCCTTTCAGCCATAGGGGGCGTTATAATATGACGGTCAATCCCACTATTCGTTGTTAACAGAGTTGCCTCAGAGTTGGCGGTGGGTGGTGTTGACTAGCTGCTTTCCCTCTAACCTAAATTAGGGACGATTAGCGCAGATAACCCTCGTATAGCTTTGCGCGAAAAAAAAAACGAACAGATTTTGTTGAAACTTTCTGTCTGGAAGAGCATGCACACTTATATTACTTTATTGTTTGTTTGTTTTGAATTTCGCACAAAGCTACACGAGGGCTATCTGCGCTAGCCATCCTTAATTTAGCAGTGTAAGACTAGAGGGAAGGCAGCTAGTCATCAGTACCCACCGCCAATTCTTGGGCTACTCTTTTACCAACGAATAGTAGGATTGACCGTCACATTATACCGCCCCCACGGCTGAAAGGGCGAGCATGTTTGGTTTAACGGGGATTCGAACCCGCGACCCGCAGATTGCGAGTCGAGCGCCCTAACCACCTGGCCATGCCGGGCTATATTACGTTATATTACGAAATATTAATGAATATGCATACATTTATATATATAATATAGTTCCCGGTGGGACAACAGTAAGTTTACGAACTTATAACCCTAAAATCCGGGGCTTGATTCCTACCGGTGGACATAGCAAAGTGGCTTTGTTCAAAAGAAAACAAAGATATAATATATTTAGAATTAAATTAAATACATAATAATAATATACAGTTACTTACGAAATCATTCCCAAACGGAATATAATATGTAAATATAATCATTATTACTTTAAAGTATGTGTTTAAATGCATAAATTATATATACGAGTACAGGTGATGACTGTTGTTCAAGCCATTTATTATATATTTTTTATTTTTATGATGATTCTTTTCTTTGTATATATGGAGCTCACAGACTAAAACCTAATAGAACGTGGTAGAATTAACAATATAGTAAAGACGATAAAGGTCTTGCTTCTCAAATTACTGGCCCCCCAGTGGCACAGCGGTATATCTGCGGACTTACAACACTAGAATCCAGGTTTCGATACCCGTGGTGGAC